AGGGGAAAATCTTGGGAAGGAAGAAGATGGAGTTGGGGTGCCGGGGGGAGGCTGCTTGGAATGGAAGGATGGATAAGATGTGCTCATGAACAGAGCCTTGTTTACCCAGACAGCTTCCGCTTCTCCCTCTCTTGATGATCCTATTCTGTCCCCCTCCTTTAAGACCATGACCCTAGTTCCTTCCTGCCAAAGTCAAGTTTCTGAGGCAGATGCCTTCCCTGCTGCCTCCTTCTCCCTGGCAGGACCCTGGAGGGACGCAGCCATCATTATGGTCCTTCTTGTGGGATTTACAGCCCCTCCTGGGCAGGCACCTCCCTGCTCTCTGTCTCTATCTGTGTGCATCTAGACCATACAGGAAATGAAAGTGGGTATCAGAGCGTTTGTAATAAATAGCTCAGGCCTCAGGTCCTGAAACTCATGAGTGTCTGCAAAAAGGAATGTGATTCAGGGGCCTCTTTCTTTCAAATAAAGTCTCATATCAGACTTGGGGCCACAAAGGAGCTGGGATTGTTTCCTCTCTGGATTTGTGAAAGGTGAGGATGGGCAAGAAGGATGCAGAAAAGCTGGTGAACTAGGGGAGAGATGGGAGCAGGAGCCCCATTTTCTAGGAGAGGCAGGAATGTGGGGTTGAGAGTTCCCCCACAACCTCGGGGGGGCCACCCAAACTCCCAGAGCCTCAGTTTCGTCATCTATCAAGTGGAGATGGTAACAGTCCTTGCCAGGTTATTATGAAAATTAGATGAGTTAGAATGCATAATGCACTAGTTCAAAGTGGGCTGTTTCAGATGACTTGCTTCCAAAAGTAGGTATGCAAAAAAGGATCTTTTTCGAGATAGGCATAGAGGTCTGTTCTAGGTTGAAATGTGTCCCCCTATGTTAAGTCTTAATCCCACTGTCTCAAAATGTAATTATTTGCACATATAAGGTCAATACAGATGTAATTAGGTAGATGAAGTCACACTGGAGTAGAGTGCACCCCAAATTAGTATGACCGGTGGCCTTATGAGAAGATGGCCGTATGAAGACAGGGACACAGGGAGAACACCAAGGGAAAACGAGGATTGGGGTGACATCGAAGATTGTTGGCAAACCACCAGAAGCTAAGAGGAAGCAAGGAAGAATTCTTCTACAGACTGTGCAGAGGGAGCACAGTCCTGCTGACACCTTGATCTTAGACATCGAGCCTCCAGAATGGCAAGACAATCAATTTCTGTTGTTATAAGCTACCCAGTTTTGCTCTAGGAAACTAACACAGGGCCAAAAGCAAGGGGGAATGCCTTTGGCTTCTCCAGTCTCTGTTGTTTCTCTGCTTTTCCCCAGTTTGTGGCCTTCAAGACCCAACGAAGGTTACTTCCCAGGGGGCATTGCCAGGTTCCTGATTTGCTCTCTGTGCCCCATCCTTGGAGGTGTTCACTGGGCTTCAGACTTCCTCTGCCCACTCCCAGCTGTCTCTGGATATGCAGTGGGGCTGGAATGGAGTTGAACATGGTAAGGCATTTTCTCCTGCTCTTAGTAAGCTGCTGGGTTGAGGTTAGGGGCAGCACTTGGGTCCCAGTTGTTAGCAGTTTTCTCAAGGCTGTAGAACTCTTGGCATTTTTCGTGTTCAACTGCAGCTTCAGGTACCAATTTCCCAGGCTATAGGAAAAGCCCCACTTACCATCCTGTTACTCGAGATTTGCAAGCTCAGTTGCAAATAAGCTCCAGGCCACCAAATGATTCTTGTCCAGCCCCAGCGTGCACCATCAGGCCAGCTGGCACTTACCCAGTTAGTTCTTTCTGCCCTCAGTGACCTAATGACAGGTCCCTCCTGCAGAAATATTCTGGGGTAAGCTCCTATAAAATGGTCCCCCTTCCTCAGTAGAGCTGAATGGAGATGAATAAGTGAATGAAAGCAAAGCTAATGTAGTCTCAGATCTACCAAGGAAGGACAGCGTGAGGTCCTGGAGCTAGGCTGCCTGGGTTCAAATCCTGGGACCAAGACTAGCTGTGTGACCTTGGACAAGTTACTTAACTTCTCCCTGTCTCAGTTTCCTCATCTACAAAATAAAGATAATCATAGCACCTACCCCTGAAGTCGCTGTGGGGATTCAATAAGATAATGCCAATAACGGATTTTGTGCCTAATGCAAATAAAGGTTAGCTTCTTTGTCACCCAGGGCAAGAGTCTCAGTATCTTTATGCCTCATCCTGTGTCCGTGCTTAGAACCTAATTTCCTTACTTAGGTCCTACCTAATCTTTTTCACACATTGGACTCGGCTAATTCATCCACTGCTGGGAAATTTATTATCAGAGACAGTGTGCTGGAGATGGAACAAAGGCCGAGGTGCTGTGGGCTGGATGCATGGGGAAGAGATACATTTTTAGTTTGAGGAAACAGAATATGTAGAAAAATCGTTCATGTGCCAAAAGGCCTGGACTAAATTAAACTTCTCGACTTAACCACCGATTAAAGCATTACAATAGCAGCACAGGCTATAGCCTGCAATCATGTTGCTATGGGCCTTCATGTTGGAAAATAACTGCAGGACCCCCCACCATGGCTTGGTGGCCATGCTCACAGAGAAATAATAGCTGTGTGTTTCTCTCCCTCTTTATTTAAAGCACTTTGGAAATTTGATGATGAAAACCCAGTAAGACATGAGAAAGAAAAAGATAATGGATCTCCCACCTTGAGACTCAGCAGGGGTGGGGACAAACTGAAGCTCAAAACACCAAAAATATGCAGTGTCATACCACAGACGATCATCAAGCACACACTTTCTGCTGCGAGAGAACTGGCGCCAAGCAAAACATCCCACGAACGATGCATGCACAGCACTTTTCAGCTTGCAAACAATTTCCGTACTCTTTATCTCAAACATCCTGTGTGCCCAACTGAGTATGACAACCGAGGCTCAGCAGAGTGACATGATAGTCTCAAGGTAACTTGCGGGGCACAGCTGGGACTGGGGCTCAGTCTCTCTCCCCTTTCTTCCAGAACAAATCTGGTGAGACACTGGTCTGAGATCTGGTTCAGAAGATGACATCCTAGGAAGACAGTGTGGCCTGTAAAGAACATAAAGATTGTGGCCTTGATTTGTGTACTTGGTAGAGCAGGCAATTCCAGATAGGCCCAGACATTTGGAAAGCATCAAAGGAAGATAATTTGAAGAAACAAGATAGGCGAAAAATCATTAGTGTGCCAGGAGTGCATTCTGTTTAACCCAAGATTAAGCTTTCTGTACTTCTCCAGACCGTGATGTGTTCAAGGGTAGCGGGGAATAAAAAGCACTCATGGCTTGGAAGGTAATTAAAATCATCTGGATGCCACTCTAGTGAGAACTTCTGATAAGGATAATGGTATAAACCTGACTGAAAAAATGAAGATGATAACAAGGACACTGACGGGCATTATACAGAGGAAGCTGAACTCTTGAGGTTTCTGGGGCATCCATGAACAACTAAAATTTCTTTCTTTCTAGCTGTCCAAAATCAGAACACTCTGACTGGCCTCACTACCAGTGGCCTCTAGAGAAGGAAACCAGAGTTCATGGTTTCCAATCTGTTTACGGCTCTTCCCCTCTTCCCTCTTTCTTTTATATAAATCCTCTTCTAGACTTTTTCAGATGAAATCAAGCTATACGAGTTCCCTTCTTTACGAATAAATAGCATGTGAATAATTAACTCAATGTCTGAGTTATTCTTTGACTCTAGGCTCCATCACTTGCTGGCTGCAAATACCCTTTGGGCCTCATTTTTCTCCTCTGTAACATGAAGAAAATAGCTCCCATCTTTGAGATCATTGCAAAGATTAAAAGAGATTATCCATGAAAAGAGTCACACACATGCCTGACATGTAGTGATGCTATTGCTAAAATCATTATCAGTTGTATCAGTTTTCTATCACTGTAATACATTATCACAAACTTAGTGATTTAAAATGACATACATTTATTCTCACAGTTTTGGAGGTGGAAAGTCTGAAATGAGCTTTATAAGGCTAAAATCTAGGTGTCAGCAGTGTTGCATTCCTCTGGAGACTCTAGAAGAGGACTAATTTCTTGGCCTTTTTCAGCTTCTAGAGTCTGTTTATATACCTTGGCATGTGATCCTATCATTCTTCTTCAAAGCCCACAGTGTAGCATCTTCTAATCTCTCTCATTGATTTTGACCCTTCTGTTTCCTTCTTAGAAAGACCCTTGTGATTACATTGGGCCCACCCAGATAATCTCCCCATCACACCTGCAAATTCGCCTTTGCTGTATAAGGTAACACAGTCACAAATTCTGGGGATTAAAAGAAGATGGTCATCTTTGGTGCTGGGGGGGTGTCATTAGTCGAACCCTAATCATTAATATTTTTATCAAGACTAGGTCATTCAACTCATTTGTCCTCATTAAACCACACGAAGTAAATACTGTTTTATTCCCATTAGGAAACTGAGGCACAGAGAAATTAAATAACTTTCCCATGGTCACAGAGCCAATAAGTGGTGAAGGAGCAATTCTAACTGAGGAAGATGGCTTCTGGAGTTCATATTCTCACAAGCCCAATTATGTAAAGTGGCACCTAATTGCCAGCACATAAAAGTACTATATCGATGTTGGCTGTTATGATGGTTATTTCTATTAAGATTAATATAATAATCCTTATTTCATATGACTTTTGTGAGAATTAAATAAATCAACGTATGACAATTATCAAACAGTGCCTGGCATACAGCAGGTCTTCAAATGGTATTTAAATTTTTCCAGTTCTATTTCACTTTTCTTTTCACTCTGAAGATGTGTCCTTTCCGCCCTCCCCAAGATGGCGCCATAGCCACGCAAAATCTGTCCCACTCCAGATGGCATCCATTACTGAAAGCCATTCCGACCTTCTAAAGATGGTGCCAACACTAGGCATTTTCATTTTCCGCCCTCTTCAAAATGGCCTTAGCAGTTAGCTTCAAGCGCGGGAACCGACGACCTTCTCAAAATGGTGGCGGACTCAGCGGCACCACACCATGACCATCTCAAGATGGCGCGAGCGTCGCAAACTTAGCGTCACTATCATAAAGGTACTTCCGGTTACGCCAAATGAAGGCGTGAGAGGTATGCGGGATACCTTGAAGGATTCCGTTTGGGCCGGGGAACTCTGGCGCGACCATGGACCGAAGAAAGAAACCTTTGGAAGTTACGGCCTCCTCGGTAAGTTCTCCCCGCACCCATCAGACAAGAATTTCGATCTAGCTTGTTTCTAAATTCGGAGTCCAAGACCTGGCCTCCCCTCAAACAGGAACCCGGACCCGGCTTCGCCGGTCCAACACGAACCTGAACCTGGTCTTTTTTCCCGGTTAGGTGTCTCCTGGCCTCTCTTCGAGGCAGCCGAGCCAGGCTTCCTTGCCAGCCTGTCTCCCTTACGGTCGGGGAGGAATCTCGGCCTGTGCTTGCTTTCCTACACATTCCCCTTCCTGGTTTTCCTACTATCCAGAGACCAGGAAGGTCCTCCCAGAACATTAGAGAGTGTGACTTAGTCCCCAGGATCCGAGAGTGCCCAGCGTCCCCGACTAGGAACTAAAGAGATGTTAATGCAGCCATAGGATGTGGTGCCTGGGAGCTGTAGGGTTTGGCAGGGTAGGGTGTAAGCAGCTTTTTAAAAGTTAGCTACTTCTAGGAAGAAGAGTACCTATTTGTGCCGGCACTTTATATGCACTATTTCATTGACTCCTCCCCACAGCTTTAGGAGGTAGTGCTAGTAATGTCTCCGTTGTACAGTTGATGAAATCCACGCCCAAAAAGACGAAGTGGCTTTTCACAGCTTACACACAGAATTCTTAGTGATAGAACTGGCTCACTCATTCTGGTTAACTCCAAAGGTGTGTTGCCCTTTCCATTACATCAGAACAAATTGCCTAACCTTTGATTTAATCTTGAATTTACTGCTAAGTATTAGGATGTAAGGGGAGTATAAAGGAAAACATCTAAGTATCCCAGTATTTGAGCCCCTTTTCCTCGTGTAATACTGAAAATTGGTATTTGTTATGATGTTTGAGGATTCCGAACCAAAGAGCTATAAATATTAAAGTTATCCTATCCCAACAGGTTAAAATTAGCAATGATAATAAATAGGAAGGCCATCTGGGAACTGAAAATTTTCTGAGCATCTTTTAAAATTCAAAAGTAGTTGCAGAATAGGAAAATGTGGCTGGAAAATTAATGTGATTAAGAAAGTTTGGAAGAAAAGGTGAAAGTTTTAAATTCATTTTTTAAAATTTAGAATAAAAGGTCCTGGGATGATCTGCCCTTTCCTGCTAAGGCTGCTTTTAAGTTGATTTCTTCCAAAATAGAAATCATTGAACTCAGTCATTTTGATTTCCCTTAAAAGTTAGTCCATGATGCTGGGCTTTATAAGTTAAAATTGACAAATGCCCATGTGTATAATAAGCAGCTGTTCCCAATCCTTAAAGAGGATCAACTGTCATATTTTTTTTCTTGCAGAGTAAACAGTGGTGACTGATACAGTCGAGGGCTAGGCCTGGGTATTCACTCAGTTGTCCTATTTCCTTTGCCCTGGTCTTTCCTGTTCTTGAACCCTGTGATTGAGTTAAACTAGAGTTTCTAAAACATACTAAAACAAATTTGGGACCATTCTTACCGTTCCCTCAGTCCACTTTATTTCTGGTTGTTGAAATCTGCCTGTCTTTTAAGGTTCAGCTCAAAGCTGCTTCTTATCGCTCTGGGAAGAAATGTTGCCTTACCTGAACTTTTATGCTACTTTCTTACACTCTTAAAGCATTTATTACTTTTTACTGGTGCCATAAGTTATCTTATTAGGTCGTAGGCTCCACATGAAGCACGACTACATCTAATTCATGTTTGTATCCTACTCTTCAGTGTTACGTGCCACTCACGTAGATATTTCCCCGTAGAATTAATGCATTGTAATAATTAAATGCGGTTATACCTTATGAAAAAGCCAAGTACAGTGCCAGTCAGAAAGGTGTTTAATGTTAGTTGAATTTGGATCTAAAAGGTGCAAAGTTCATTTACTTTGCTTTATCACTCATCCTTTGCCCAGAAGAAAGCCTTTGAATATTGCAGGTTAGAGTAGAAATACATTTTTAACAGAGCTGGATGAAATACGACTTGGTTTTGTTTTATACTAGATTCTACATGTCAACTTTTAAATTTGTATCCATTTTTTGTCCATTTATAGAAACTTGAAATCTTGCTTTGAGAATTATAGTAGCTTGAAAATCCAGTCCCTCATAGAATTAAATGTTTTTTGTTTGTTTATTGGTTTTATTCTAGTTGGTAGACCTTAAGGCCGAACTCTTCCGAAAACAAGAAGAATTCAAACAAGAAAAACTTCTAAAAGATTCTGGAGTTTTGGGAAAACCAAAATTAACTAATAAGGTAAAAATAAGATCTGATTATTTCCATTGATTCCAGACATGAAGAATTATATCATACTTAGGTTTTTAGAAAGTGTCCATGGTGTCTGCTTACATATAAATATTAAGGAAAAATCTCTGTCTTCTGTTTGAACATCTACATGTCTTAAAAATTAAAACAAATTAGTAATATTATTTAAAAGCACACTTTAATATTCTAATTCTTTAGCACTTCTTTTGGAAAAGTACATGCTATTAATAAGTAGTTTGTTGCATTCTCATAGAAGATTATCTAATTACATATGTTTTATAAATCCAAGTCCAAACACAAACAGATAATATAGAAATATAGCAAAAAAAATCAGGGTCTTTAAGAGTTATGAATAGATTTCCAATTTTATAGGTAGTATATCTACTATTTGTATTATTAATTCTCTGTAATGTATACATTTTCATTAGCGTATTGAATTAAGTTGTAATCATTCAGGAGCTAAAATAGAAGTAATCCTATGCAGTTGTATAAAGAAATTCTTTATCCAGTTTAGGGCGTTTTTTTTTTTTTTTCAGTTCCAGCTTTGCCATGTACACTCTTATTTGCAGGACGTAAGTTGGCTGGTAGAATATCTAGTTATCTCTGTTGATTCATAGATCTAATGGTCTCTTTTTTTTTCCCGATGTACAAGTAGAGATATTTTGTAGTCATACTTGGTGGTACTGTTTTGTCTTTTTAAATTATTCTCCAGAAACCAAGTATCTGGAGCAAACAGAATGCAGGAGTTTCAAATCGAGCCGAGAAGGATGCTGAACAGAAGATTGAGGAACAGAAGACTTTAGACAAAGCAAGGTAAAGTTGAACTCTGATAAGTGTAGTTACTGCTGAGGCCTTAAGCATAAAAATGAAAGTTCAACTTTTACTCTTTTTTGATTTAGTTTTAATTTTTATCATTCTTCTTGCCAAATACTTTATCAGTATAAAATGTACTCTAAAAATAATATAATTTTCAGATGTAGTCTTAAAAGAAGAAAAGACATAGCCTCTGTTTAAAAGATGAGAGTCCCAGTTTGAGCCTTTTTTAGGTACTAAGATTATCTATCAACAGATGTTTAAGAAGTGTCCCCATGGGAGTGTGGTTCTGGGCTAGGTGGTATGACATTAGCATTTAGAAACTAAATTTTTTCCCCAACTTTTTAACATGAAAAACTTTAAATCAACAGAATAATTGAAAGAAGAGTACAAAGGACATTCTAATACTCTTCACTTAAGATGACAAATATCTTTCCACATTTGCCATCTCTCTCTCTCTCCGCCCTCTCCCCCTCCCCCTCTCCTGTGTGTGCACACTCCTATGTGTAGAGAAACTTTGTTAAACATCACGATACTTTACCTGTAAATATTTTAGCATATATCTTCTAAGAACAAGGACATTTTTCTACATAATCACAATACTGCTGTCATACTCCCAAAATTTAACACTTATAAAATAGTATTATCTATTATATGGTCCATATTATCCTAATACAATTATGTTCTTTAAAGTTGTTTTATTTAACACAGGATTCAATCAAGATTACACATTGCATTTAATTGTCATATCTCCTTAGTGTCTTTTAATTTAAAACAATTCCCTTTTTGTTGTTCACCCCAGTTGTTTTTACAAGGTCCTACAATCTGATTAGTCACATTAACTGTTTTTGATAAGAACACCATCTAGGTGGTAATGTGTCCTTCCCATTAAGTCACATTGTGAGGGTCATAATGTCAGTTTGATAATAAGTTTGATCCCTTGGTTAAGGTCTTCTAGATTTTTCCACCATAAAGTTGCCCTTCCCTGTTCGTAAATAATAATAATAAAGGGGGGAAACTATGAGACTCTGTGAATATCCTGTTCACAAACACATTTCCACACAGTGGTTGTGTAATCACTGATGAATCTTGCCACTTATGAGTTACTGCATTTTCTTGTGATGGAAACTTTTAAGATTTACTTTTTTAGCAACTTTTAAATATTTAAACAGTATTATTAACTGTAGTCACCATGCTGTACATTACATTCCCAGGACTTAATTTATCTTATAATTGGAAGTTTGTACCTTTTGAGCCCCTTCATCTATTTCTCCCACCTCTGACCCCCCGATTCTGGCAACTACCAGTCTGTTCTCTGTATCTATTGTATCTATGAACTTATTTTGTTTTTATTTTAAATTTCACATATAAGTGAGATCATATGGTATTCGTCTTTCTGTCTGACTTAAATCACTTAGCATAATGCCCTCACCATCCATGTTGTCACAAATGGAAAGATTTCATTCTTTTTTATGGCTGAATAGTATTCCACTGTGTGCGTGTCACATTTTCTCTATCCATTCATTCATCAATGGACACTTAGGTTGCTTCCATGTCTTGGCTTATTTTAAATCATGCTGCAGTGAACATGGGAGTGCATAAATCTTTTCAAGTTGGTGTTTTCATTTTCTTTGGATAAGTACCCAGAAGTGGAATTGCTGGATATATGGTAGTTCTATTTTTAATTTTTTCAGGAACTTCTACACTGTTTTCCATAGTGGTTATACCAGTTTACATTCCCACCAACAGTACACAAGGAGTCCCCTTGCTCCATACCCTCACCAACACTTGTTATTTCTTGTCTTTTTGATGATAGTCATTCTAACAGGTATGAGGCGATATCTTACTGTGGCTTTGATTTGCATTTTCCTGGTGATTAGTGATGTTGAGCATCTTTTCACATACCTGTTAGCCATCTGTATGTCTTCTTTGCAAAAATGTCTATTCAGATCCTCTGCTGATTTTTTAATTGAGTTGTTTGGGGGTTTTTTTGCTAATAAGTTGTCTGAGTTCTTTTTATCTTGCATATTAACTGCTTCTCAGATATATGATTTGCAAATATTTTCTCCCATTTGGTTGATGCTTTTTCATTTTGTTGATGGTTTCCTTTGCTGTGCAGAAGCTTTTCAGTTAGATATAGTCCCATTTATTTTTGCTGTTGTTGCCTTTGCTTTTGGTGTCAAATCCAAAAAATTATTGCCAAGACCGATGTCAAGGAACTTACCACCTATGTTTTCTTCTAGGAGTTTTATAGTTTCAGCTTTTACATTCATGTCTTTAATCCATTTTTAGTTTTTGTGTATGGTGTTAGAGAGTGATCTAGTTTCATTCTTTCGCATGTGTCTGTTCAGTTTCCCCAACACTATTTATTAAAGAGACTTTCCTTTCCTCATTGTATATGCTTGGCTCCTTTCTCATAAATGAATTGACCATATATGCATGGGTTTATTTTTAGGCTCTCAGTTCTGTTCCTTTGATCTGCGTGTGTGTTTTTATGCCAATACCATACTGTTTTGATTACTATAGTTTTGTAACATAGTTTGAAATCAGGGAGCGTGATGCCTTTAGCTTTGTTTTTCAAGATTGCTTTGGCTATTTAGTCTTTTTTGTTTCCATGCAAATTTTAGGATTATTTGTTCTATTTCTATGAACAATGCCATTGGAATCTTGACAGGGATTACATTGAATCTTTAGATTGCTTTGGGTAGTATGGACATTTTAACAATATTAATTTTTCCATCTACGGCCATGCTACCAGCCTGAACAAGCCCGATCCCGTTTGATCTCGGAAGCTAAGCAGGGTCGGGCCCGATACTTGAATGGGAAACCACCTAGGAAGACCAGGTTCTGTAGGCGTAGAAAATAAAAAAATAAGGGATTTAAGCTGACAAGGTCCTTGCAATCTGTGAGGTCAACCAAGGGTTGCCTCACCTTAAAAAAAAAATCTAATTTTCCAATCTTCCAATCCATAAGTATGGAATACCTTTTCATTTATTAGTGCCTTCTTTCTTTCATGTATCTTATAGTTTTCAGTGTATAAGTCTTTCACCTCCTTTTAAAAATTTATTCCTGGGTGTTTTATTCTTTTTGATGCAGTTACAAATGGAATTGTTTTCTTAATTTCTATTTCTGGTAGTTATTAGTGTATAGAAATGTATCAGATTTCATATATTGATTTTATATCTTGCAATTTTATTGAATTTGTTTATTCAACAGTTTATTGTTAGAATCTCTAGGGTTTTCTACACATGTCATCTGCAAATATTGACGGTTCTTTACTTATTCCTTTCTGATTGGGGTGCCTTTCATTTCTTTTTCTTGCCTAATCGCTCTGGCTAGGGCCTTCAATATTGTGTTGAATAAAAGTGGCAAGAATGGGTATCCGTGTCTTGTTCCTAATCTCAGAGGAAAGCTTTCAGCGTTTCACTGTTGTGTATATTAGCTATAGAAATACTCTTTTATTATTTACTCTATAACAGAGTTTTCCTTGGCACTTTAAATGTGATTTTTCTATCTGATAACTTTTTATGTACTACTTTGGTTTCACTATGCTTGTGAGGAGTCAAGTCTATCCAGGATATGCAGGACTTCTGCATCTCCAGAGCTCAGCACAGAGACAATTCCATGAAGGTGTAAGGCCTTTGGCAAGTTACTTATCCGTTAAGACACTTTCCTTATCTGTGAAGTGAAGTGGTTAGCGCTTAGTTCATGAAGCCTTTTGGGAAATACATAGTATCTGGTACATAGTGGGTTCCAGATAAGTGTTCCGTACTAGCACTCTCTGAATTCCACCTTCCTTACTCGACCGAAGAAATTGTTCTTTAAAGTCACCGGTGACTTCGTCATCCACTAAATCCAGTGGCCATTTCTTTGACATCTTCTTCAATCTCCATTATTCATTTGTATTTTCTTCCTGCCACCTTTTTAAGTCTTTTTTTTATTACACTGTATCAGACTTACTCTGTTTCATGCACTCCTGTCCCTGCCCGTTTCTCTGTCTTTATTTTGTAACACTCCTTTGCTCAGCATCTTCTACCATGCTGACCTCTCCTTGATCATTTCAAGCTCATTTCCACTTCATCTTTCCTCTGCCTGACTTGTTTCCTCTTCCCAGATCCTCCCATGATTGGCTGCTTCTGGTTATGTAGCCTAAGCTCAAATGTTGCCGTCAGAAAGTTTTCACCTGTAAATACCCTACTTGACATAGTGTTCTGCCCAGTTACTCTGTCCTGACCATGTGTTGTTTTTTTTTTAATTTTTTAAAGTTTTATTTTCACTAAGGCAATAAGATTCTATAATAACATAGTTTGTTACATTAAGCCCCCTCTGAAATAGAGCAACTTAACCTCTTAGAAGTTGAAATGACTAAGGTGGTTCACTGAGCACTCCATTAATGCATAAAAAGAGTTTCAGTGAAACCCTGCTTTTTTGTCCTTCCTTTCACAGCACTTCTCACTGTCTAAAATCTTTTTTTCAGTGATTTATTTATTGTTTTTCTCCCCATCTAGAATGTAAACTCAATAAGAGCTGGAACTGTTTGTTCAATGCTGAGTCCTCAGCACTTAAAACAGTGCTTGGCACAGAGGAGGCATACAGTCAATACTTGCTGAATGACAGATGATGAAGATAAAGATGACACACTAATGGTTTACGTGTGTTATCTAATTAATCTTCATTACAACCTTAAGAGGCAGTGCTGTTTTTTTTCCCATCTATTGTGATGTGGGAATTGAGGTACATGAGAGATTAAGTAACTTGTTCCAGAGCACACAGCCCTGTGACCAAGGAACTTATTGCCTCACAATGCTGTTAGAAATGAAAATGTCCATTAAGATTAAGTACGATTCTTCATAAAAGCTCAGGTGACTTGTTTGGGGCTCTTTACCATCATTAAGTATTTCTAAAATAAAAAATTGCTAGCCATCTTGCCTAGTTTCTGCCCACTAAAAATAAATGTCACCAGAATTAACATGAACAGCGAGGCTGCTGTATTGAAATACCAAGGTTGATGTTTGTTTTTTATTAGCTGTGTGTCATGAATATATTATTCTTTTTCTGTGTAAAACTGGCATTAACACATTTTTAACAGACTTAGAAGAAGTTGATCTCTAGTTCCCTTAGAGAAGCCTAATAAGCCATGGACGACCAGGGACCATTGTATGAATACAGTAATGCAAAGTGTTAGCATCGAATTTGGTGATCTGCTTGGAAGGTTGTAAATTGAAAATGTTTTTGTTTAGACATTAATCTCTCTTTTTGATATTAAGTTACATCTAATATTTAAATTAAGTTAGGATCTTCATTCATATATTTATTCACCAAATGAATTGATGATTGAGCACCTGCTATGTGCCAGGTATTGTTTTAGGCACTGAGATACAGTCACGAATTTAGAGAAACATAGGCTTGCATTTAGTTGGCAAAGAGATGTAGCTGGGTTTTAGGGTTTCTTCAGGCTGGTGTGGTCAGCTCTAGTTACGGCCGCCTCATCATCAGGTTGGGCCTCTTGGGCATATTACAGCAGTGAGGCTGAGGGTAGGGCAGCCGTACCAAGGTGGCAGTTATAAGACATTTCTAATACTTGCCTTGTTTTCTTATAGGGAGAAATTGGAAGAAAAAGCTAAATTATATGAAAAAATTACTAAAGGAGACTTTATAGGTAAATAACAATTATTTATTTGCACTTTTCTGTAATTCATACAGCCCTATGGTATTTTGTTATTCATTAATAACTATAACAATAGAGAGAAATTTAACAGATCAGATTGATTACTTTCTGTGCCAGAGACAAGAAAATCAATAATTTTCCAATTGCCCAGTGCATGCCAGGCACATGCTGGGTGCTGTGAAGGGACAAGCAAGTACAGTATAAGCCAGATCTTCTGCCTCTGCCCTCAGCGGGGTTGTCATCAGCGAAGGGAAAGGGCACAGAACAAAGCAGAGTTAGGAAACTAGGTCTAAATAGGCCGCAATTATGAACAATTACATCTGTGTTAAAAAACTGGAAGGAATTATATCAGGTTGCTAGAGTTAAGTTTTCTATTTCCCTGTTTTTCTCTATTTTCTATTTTTCCTGCGATGTGCTTATAATTGCTTTTAAAGTAAAAAAAAAAAAAAAAAAAAAACAAAAAAAAAAAAAAAAAAAATCCCCCTTTTCTTATAACTCCCAGAAAAGGAAATCCAACCTACAGTTAGACAACAGTAGAAGAGTTTTTATAAAGCAGTGCATATTTCATTACCAAAGTCATATGTGGAAGTCTTTAAGGAGAAGAGGGGCTCTAATAGGGGTCTTAAGGGCTTTAGAGAGCTGGAGAAAGGAATTCTACAGGAGAGAGTGACGAGAGCAGATCAGCAGACGGTGGAGAGGGCCAGAGTTGGCCAGGCAGACTAGTGTGGCTGGGCCCAAGGAGCTGGGAAAGTGGGCAGAAGGGCAGCAGGAGAGAGGCAGGCCAAACCCTGGTCATAGGCTGCCCACCCAGCCGAGCGCCTTCTTCCCAGACAGTAGGGGCAGTTTCCTGCATAGCAGGAAGCCTGGCATGGCAGCCAGGCACTCTCAAAGCTAGGGACCATGGGGAGAAGAGGCTTTGCCTTTTTCCTAAAGAAACAGCAGGGGGCGGCCAACAACCAGG